TAAATAAATCTTTGACATGATGCATACATGTTAATGTGCGCTGATCGCGATACGCACAAAGCAAAGACGCGCAACTGAAATTGCGCCAGCTGGCAATGCTTCTATAATCTGTTGTTGCTGCCGCTGGCTGGCCGGCCTTCAATTGTGACAAACACTGCAATAAAAACATATACATATGTACGTATACGTATGTGTGTGTGTGTGTGCGTGTGTGTGTGTTTGTATGCCATGCTGCCTGCTTGTTGTAATTTCAGGTTATTTGATACCAAAATGTATCTATAACAACGTTATAGCGCGCGCATCATTCATATGTACGCAACAACGCCAAGAACCGCACACACACACAACAAAGTCGTGACACATACATACATGCACACAGGCTAACAAGAAACGTGTATGCACATAATAATCGACACATTCTCGCCAATGCCGATGGGTTGCCAGCTTTGGCTATAGCTGCTGCTGAGACGTGCACACACAGCCATATTGACTGCGCAGTCATAAATACCCTTACACACACACACATTTGCTTTCGCAGGCTAGACTTTTCACAATGCAAAAAACCGGCCGCCCCAAACGGTACATGCACTGTTTACATGCACTTCCCTCTCCATAAATACATCTATCTCTCTCCCTCTCTCTTTCTCTCGAACACAGCACAAGAAATGCGAAAAAGAACAGAGCAGACAAACCTGTCTTTTTTTTTACTTTTTTGTGTGGCACATTTGCTGATTAATAAACATGCGCTCTGGCAAGGCCTACTCAATCAGGCACCCACACCCCACCCAAACCAAAGCACGGCCGTCGTATTGCGAACAGAGGCCTAACTACAAGTACACCACAACGCATACACACACATAGTCAAAGCTAAGCTGATATGCACACGCTTCAAAGCTTAAGCTGCGTGCGGTTGTATGGGTGTATGTGTGTGTGTGTGTGTGTGTGCATGTAACTGTCCAGCAGAACAGATGAGAACACACTGTACACTACACAAATGTCGCCAGCCATTGTTGCTATTGCATACAACTGTAAATATACATATACATGTACACATGCTCGACTACCATAATTGGTCTAATCAGAAAACAAATCGAAGGTAGCCATACATATTCAAAGTGTATGCCAGTTTCTTATCAAAAAGACACAAGCAAAAAAAGTTTGTCTGTTTCTCTTGCTTCTAGGCGCAACAACTACCAAATGTCCGTATGTCAACATATTTTTTGTTTTTGTTGGGGCTGGCGCTGCCGGCTTGTTTCATTCCAAAAATGACAGGACTTGTGCTGTGTGTGTGTGTGTGTGTTTTTTTTTTTTCTTCCACATCCCGCCCTTTAGTGCTTCATAACATTTCATTTCGTTTCAATTTGTTTGTAGCACGCGCGCGCCCAATGCGCTGCCATGCTATCAGCACTTGCTCTTTGCGCTGCTCTTTCAATGCCCATTTTCGCGCATTCCGTTTTGTGGCGCGTACGTCACACGTACACGCACACACACACACACACACACAACGGCTGCAAAAAATTCTATTACATAAACGCGTTGCCACTTTTTCAGCTTTAGCTGCAGCTGGGTGCGCAATTTGTTAAATCATTGTTGTCTCAGCACATAAAATTGTTTTAATTTTACCATAGTTTATGTTTTAGTTGCGCCATTATGTGTGTGCGTTTTCTTTGCATTCAAAAAAAAAAAGAAATGCTTTCAGTTTGATCGATTTTTTGCGTATGTATTGTTTTTCATTTTGAGTTTTTTCTTTTGCGCTTGTTCTGCCACACGTTCACACAGACATGGCGGACTGTCTGTCAGACCCGCAGCATGCTGAAAACACGGCCAGTGTGACCAAATTGTCTAACCCAAAATATGCCACTTTCCGTTAAAGACAAAAATTGCTTGTAGAAAATACCAAAAGAAATTAGATATTGAAATATTCATTTTTTTCTTATTTCCACACAGATCACAGAATTGAATCTGGACAATTGCAGGAGTACAAGCATTGTTGGCCTTACAGATGAATATACCGCCTTGGAAACATTGAGTTTGATCAATGTGGGCCTCACCACACTCAAAGGTTTCCCCAAGTTGCCCAATTTAAAGAAATTGGAATTATCCGATAATAGAATTTCGAATGGCCTCAACTATCTAACGACGAGCCCCAAATTACAATATTTAAATTTATCTGGCAACAAAATCAAGGACTTGGAAACGTTGAAACCATTGGAGGAATTCAAAAATCTGGCTGTCCTGGATCTATTCAACAATGATGCCACTCAAGTGGAAAACTATCGTGAGAAAATCTTTAAGATGTTACCATCTTTAAGCTTTCTCGATGGGTAAGCTATATACATATAACTATTACAAATATTGATGGAAATTAATCAATTTCTATATTGAAACAGATTTAACTGTAACGATGAGGAGGTGCAATCGGAGGGCGATGACGATGAGGAGGTCAATGGCAATGACTCCGAGGTTGACGGTACGTTTACGCATCATTCATAGATGACATTTATCATAGGGGAAACAACTTGTTACGCTATTGCTCTTGCTGATCGGTGTCAGCTTCTGGTTTCAAAAGTTGTTGCCACATTCCATGCCCGCCCTGTTTAGGATCTGATCTGTTCAGTTATCGTATCATACACATCTCAACACACAGATTCTGTCGCCTTTCAGATGAGCGCAGTGCCTTCTGTGTAAATGGTTTAGAAATCGATTTAGACGAGCTCGAGGCATTGGAGCAGCGTGTTAAGGCCAAGAAACGTTTGCAGGAAACGACAGACGGTGCCAGCACGTCCAAGCCGCCAGCCGACGACAATGAAGTAGACGAATTAGATGAATATTTAAAAGAATTGCAGCTCAAAGAATCGACGGCAACTGTCAGTCAATCTGTGATAGAGGCTAATCCAGCCTCAGTTCAGCCCCATCCAAGCACAAATTTTGCAATTTTACTCTATTGGTTTTTAGCAATATTAAATCTGGCAAATGCCGCCTATTGTAAGCATTATGCATTCTGATTTTTAATAATACCTTACGATTTTGCCGATTGCTTACAGTTTCCACCGATGATGGCGACAGCGATGAAAGCGACGACGAGGACAATGGCGATGTTTCACTCTCGGAGGTATGTCAAGATTCCAGAAGATTAGAGGAATACTTAATTAACTAAACAACTGAACAATTTCAGGTCTATAATGATGATCTGGAGGAAGACAATTCCGATTGGGAGGAAGGTGAGGGCGGCGATGACGATGAGGACGAGGATTCCGATATTGATGAGGCCGATGGTGAGCCAAATGAATCGACTGCATCGGTCAATGCCAATGAGAAGGATGCTGAAAAGCCAGGTGAGTAATAAAAATTGAACAATCTATCTAATTATTACTCATATTTGGCTTCTTCAATTATTTAGCAGACGAGTCGCAAGCCAGGGGCAAGAAGAGAAAGCATGATGGTTAAACAGCATGATCTATAACCGTATCGTCTTTGTACGTTATAAATTTAAATATATATACACCAATACACACACACACACATACACAAAATACAGCAACAGGAACACACATCATATTTTGATAAAACAAAAGTGAAAAATAAAACAACAACATAGGAAAGAGGAGATAAATAAGAAGAGGGCCCCATTAGAAAAAGATTTATAAAAACAAAAAAAAAAAAACAACATTTGTTTCGTTACATTTTAAGCTAAATATTCTAAACACCCGACAAAACAAAACAAAATGTAATAATCAAAAGATAAACAAAAGATGGTAACTATTAAGGGAATACTAAAAACCACACAACAATAACACACACACACAACCACACACACATGCAACTATAGCAAACGAACCCAAATGTGGAAGTTCTACAAATTACAAACAAAAAAGAAAAAAAAAGGGAAAATTGAAAAAAAAAACACACACACACTCAAACAAGAAAATAGATGGTTCCAATTAAATTCTTTTGGCAATTGAATTTGCATTCAGAACACATTGTAAAATTGTTTAGCATTAAGTTAAAAGTTTACCAATATATGTTTACAAAAGTGTAAAATTAAAGAAAGCCCACAATTTACATGATGATAATGTTACAATTGAACAAACAAAATTTGCTAACTTGCGCCTAAAGTTGATTCCTATTCCGATTTGAAATTGAATTATATTTTAAAAATCATTTGCTGCTTCTATCCGGTTTCGTGTTACAAACAAATTCTACAAACATAATTACTGCTAAGAAGGATTTTTAACTAACTCTTAAGTCATTCCTTTTTGAATAAACACACACACACACACACACATTCACATAAATTAGTTAAGCGCAATTATAATTTATACTTCCTTTTATAATATTATAATGTCAACACAATTATTATTCATTGTTATCCACATCCATTCTCTATATACACGCAAATTTGTTTAAACTATAAACATACTTTTAAGTACGTAAACTATATTATCAAACAGATTTGTTCCCAGTTCTTCAAAGGCAGTAGTAGCATGTTTCGATAACGGCAAGTAAATGCAATATACAACATTTTAGAAAAGAATATATATATATATATATATTTTTTTTTCATTTCATTGAAAAACAACAACAACTATAAATGCAATACGTTTGTTCAGGTACAGGCAAATTGTATAAACACCGAAAGCGAAACCGAAATACATAAAAATTAAATAATTTTAAACAATTTGTTTCACTGTTGATACCCTATAAATTGCATACGGCGAAGAAATGACGGCAAACGGTGTAGGGCTGCCTGTTTAGAGGGAAAATTGTGATTTAGCTTGTTTTTCGTTTCGCATTGAAAATAAAAGCCAACTGTGCGTAACTATCGATGATTGCGTAATCGAAATATCAGCTCAATATATGGACGGTCGTCAGCACTGTACATACGAAATGCACATTAACCAACACTGTACGGCACTTGAACATGCGCAAAAGAGGAAGCAAGCGTAGCACATATGCGGAAGCGAGAGAGTGATATTCAGCCAACGCTGACTACAACGTCGCGACGCTGTCGACGTCTCTTTATTTGACGTCGAATCGTCGCAGCGGCTGGCTGTGTTAAAATATACATACTAGACAAGTAGACTGCGCTGCCTGCTGCATTCTTGGAACAAATTTCACTGTTGGCAGCGACTGAGGAATAAAATTGAACGTCGACGTCGCGACGTTTCTTCCTCGAAGAAGACCAAATCAAAATAAAAACAAATAAACTATTAAGGGTGCGTGCGCGCCAATTATTTAACAACAATTAGCAAACGAAAGAAACAAAGTGAGTTTTAGTTGCTTATATTAATGGCAATTTTGATAAAGTGGCCAATTTACACGTACACACACACACACACATACACACGCACATGCACATACACACTCACCCACTTGCATATATGTATGTATGTATAGGTAGTATATTTATTAACGTGCCCCGCGTTTGTGTTTCTCGCAGTGCACACACTAAGTGCAGCCATCGAAATGGACAAACTGGATGCCAACCTGGAGCAGCAGTTTGATCTCAATCTGATTGAGGCGGTCAAAATGAATCCCGTTATATACGATCGGTCACATTACAATTACAAGCATTTCGTGCGTAAGGCGCAGACCTGGAAGCAAATTGCCGAAACACTCGGCGTTAGCGGTAAGTGAAATTTTTGATGGAACTGTTTGTTTGTAATCATCTTGTCGAAACGGGTCCGAAGCGAAGGGTGCAACCAGCCCATAAGCTGTGTGGCAAGTGAAATTGGTTGGGTATCAGCCGAGGCAGCTGGCGACGACGATGTCGTTGTCGATGTCGTCGTCGTCGTCGCCGCTGCAAATTGATTAATTCTATGTACGGTTAAGAGGTATGGTTGTTTAGGCGGGGAGGGCGGGCGCAGAGTGGGCTGGCAACAGAGACGGAGACGACGACATCGTCGGCAGCGGCAGCAGTAGAGGCAGCGGGCGTCGGCAGCAGGCGGGCAGAAAAAGCAAGTGTACAGAAACGACGCAAAAGTGAACGGCGACGCGGCGGAGACGCGACAGACGATTGTGAAACGACAGGAGCGCATTTACGGCCGCGCGGTTACCGGCCGTTATTAAAATGTGCAGCAATTGAATTAACTGATATGCCAAGTTTTAAATATTCCCTAAACATTGAACAGTTCTTATGTTAAAGCACCGTTTAGCATAAAAACAAGTGGAATTATTGATTTAGGCGCCCTGCTTTGGGCGCTTCAGCTGCGCTCCTGGCTGCGCTGTCGACGGTGTGTGCGCGCAGTCAACATTTTTGAAGTTGCTGTACTTTTGCGTCGCAGTAGTTGTCTTTGTCGCACACACGCTGCCTACGCCAGCGTTTATTTTTATACAACTGCCACTGCTGCCGTCGCTGCAGCTGCTGCCGTTGGTGCTGTTGGTGGTTCACTCACACACTGTTGTTAACTCACGCACACAGCGACAGGCAATCGTCGACCAACCGAACAGCTTTCATTTCATTTCATGAGTGTATACCAACGAAAAAAAACCCTGTTTCTTCAGCCCCCCCCAATACCTCAAAAAATTTGTTGTTTATATGCAGTGGCCCGATTTCAATTTTGGAGCTTTTCCATTAATGAATTATGCAAGCCAATTTGAAGGAGAAAAAAATTGAAAACATTTTGGCGCCAAGCCGTTTGAATGCAACAGCAAATGTGAAGACGACTCTGGCATCAGACTCTCTGCCTGGGCCGCTGCTGGCGTTACCAATACCAAGCGGGCAGAATCAACTCGTAGTTGTAGTCGACGTCGACAGCAGCAGCGGGCGCGCGGCTGCCACCAGGCCGCTCGGAAGCTGCTGTCGCTGCTGGCGTGCCACGGATTCAGCTTCAGCTCAGCTGCTGCTGCTGCTGCCGCCGTCGCCGCCGCTGCTGCTACTGCTACTGCTGCTGCTGCTGCTGCTGTTGCTGCTTGCTTCTGTTGCTGCTTCTGCCAACAGCTAACGCCGTTGGTTCAAGTGTCTGCGGGGGCGGGAGAGACAACGGCGTTGACGTCTCGCGGTTTGTTTTGGTTTGCAATTTGACGCACATATGCTGACGTCTGGTGGCGACAGCGTTGCCACCCACCAAAGAAAAGCTTGACAACCGAATAAAAGTAAACAAACTTTCTTATCAGAGTATTAAACATGAAATATTTATGAAAATTAAATATTTACGCATTGTAAAGTGAAAAGTTACAGCCGTTTATTAGATATTCTGTTGGTTATATTTTACAGAACAAAAATGTACAAAACGATGGAAGAGTTTGCGCGACAAATTCGCGCGCGAAATGAAATTGTGCCAAGAATCGCGCTGGCGCTACTTCAAACAGATGCAATTCCTCGTGGACTCCATACGGCAGTACCGTGAGTCGCTGTTGGGCAAGTGCGCCAACGGCAGCCAGAATGCCAACCAGGTGGCCGATCCCACGCAACAACAGCAGGCCCAACAGCAAACCGTGGTGGATATATTCGCACAGCCCTTCAATGGCAGTGCAACCACATCCGCCCAGGCACTGACGCATCCGCACGGTGAGTCTTGCACGAAAAAAAAAAAACAATCCTTATTGAATGCCCACTTAAAGTAGAACAAATTTCAGAAATAACTGTGACTGGCGATGCACAACTCGCCACGGCTGTGGGCAAGGATCAAAAGCCATATTTCTATGAGCCGCCGCTGAAGCGTGAACGCAGCGAGGAGGAGCATAGCGACAACATGCTAAACACAATCAAGATTTTTCAGAATAATGTCTCGCAAGCGGTCAGCGCCGAGGATCAGTCGTTCGGCATGGTTGTCACCGATATGCTCAACACGCTGGGCGTGCGGCAAAAGGCCGAGGCCAAGGTGCACATAATAAAGTATCTGACGGATATGCAGCTGCTGGCACAGCACAACAAATACTAACTGTCGGGCCGTTTGTAGCATTACCAGCACCACCGTCAATTGCTGCAACTGCTGCAATTGGAGAATGTGCTGGACGCTCGATGGTTAATGTAAGCAGCTACATATAACAACAACAACAACAACAACAGCAGCAAAACAAGATCCCAAAAAAAAAAAACAGGAGCCGCCTGTTTTTTTTTTCCTTAGCAACTAAGTCTTAAAAGTCAAACTAAAGTTTAAAATTAGTTTTAGAAAGAGAAAAAAAAACCACACACACTTCACTTACATCTACATAATATACATAAAACCGAACATACAATTACGTAAGCACAAACCGTATATATATATTCTTACGTGCTTTGATCTGTTGTAGTTGCCCCCCGTTCAATTCTCTTACCCAGTTTGGAAGTGTACAAAATGATAGGAAACTGGTTCTAGAAGTATATATATATTGTACGTAGTTTTTTGAAACAATTTACAAATGTTTTCCAATTACTTTGTAATACAGCGTATTGTATATTTTTGACTACCATTTAGTTTTAAACATGCCATCGGGTTTAGTTTTGTAATTTGTAATTAAGTCAAATTGTAATCACAAACAAAAACAAAACAACAACATAAAAAAAAAACACGTTATTTTAATTTTTTAAGTTCTGTTGTAATATGCTAAAAACGCTTGAAAATTACATTGAAAGGCTTTAATTAAGTACGACCCTTTTAAGAAAACAAACATATATATGTATACACTAAAGCATATTACACAATTACATGAATATATTTCCGCATATTTACAAACATATTTTTCTGTAAAACAAAAAAAAACAACAACAAAACGGTTTTAAATTAACGCTGAATATTTCAAGAAGTTTACCATAGACGTGTATATTTGCCAGCAATTTAATATTGTTTTACCAATTCAATTTACCTAAATGTTTTTCATGTACATGGAATCACTAATTGTGCAATTATTTGCAATAAAAATAAACATAAGAAACAAAAATATGTTATTTGTACTCAAAGCGGAAGGCGCCAATTCTTGAGAGATATGGCAACTCTGTGTAGGTAGTAAACAAAACACAGCTGATTCGATTGACGCTCGCTTGTTGGCCAACACATTTTTATATAATGTCCGCAAAAAGTGAGAATGCTGAGACAAAAGCATCGGAAAACAATGCAAAACTGACTGACACATGGGCCGTAAGTAATGCTCTGTTATGTAAGGTACATAACTAAAAGTGCACACCCAACAGATTCGCCCGTGTCACCTGTACAAAGAGGAGTACGACGATTGCACCAGTTTCAAGGCACGCTTCCATCAATATTTCATACATGGCAAAGACGCTGACTGTTCGCAATGGCTGAAAGACTTGCAGAACTGCGAGCGCTATGAGCGTTCCAATGGCAATGACATAGAAGCTGGTGCCGCTATAATCAAGAGCGAAGAGCAGCGGAGAATCACAAGATTGCGGGCGCACTACGCCAACGATACGTGGACAAAGCGTAAGCAGCCGCCGGAGGATTGGGCCAAGCCGCTGCCCGAATGGCTGGAGAAGCGCAATGAGAACACCTATTTAGAGCTAAAGCAAAAGGAGCTGTCCGGCTTGGCGGCAGAGCAAGAGGCACAGCGTTCCTATTGCGCCATCATGTAGGAAATAAAAAAAAAAAACTAAACAAAATGAAAAGAGCAGGGTGTTTCATTATATAGATTTTACAGCAGTCTGGCAACGCCGTGCACACAGATGTGCAGCTCTGCGCGTGTTGCGCTTGGGGGTGTAGTTTTTTTTGTTTTTTTTTAGCTGGCGCTGACACAATTTCTGCTATACATATTTCATCATACGCAACTTAAATTCACTGAAAATGTTGAAGGGCAGCACATTAAAAGTACTGGATGTTAGAATTCTACAGCGCTACATCGAATCAAGGTCAGCAGGTAAATGTTAATTATATAATACAAAAGTCTCGGCAATCCCTGCCTAACATGTTAACTGTAAATTCAATCGAGTGTATATATATATAAATATATGCTTACATGTATAAATTGTTAAAAAACTGTCGTTAACCAAACATAGCCTTTTCCGTTGCAGTTGCCAGCAGCAGATCAGGACGCGCAACTATACCGATGGCATCCAGCGCTCCTACATAACGTTCAATGATTTTCGCAACAAAAACCGTTCTTACACCAAAAAGGAGCTCGTCGGGTGAGTCAGTAGAGACAAAGTAAAACTGTTCTAGTCGGGAGTGGCCGACTGTAAGATACACTGTGCCATTTCGTTGCCAAGCAATTGTTACACACACGCGCACACACACACACAGGCACGCGCCATGCGGAAGCTGCGCTCTTACCCACTCCAATGCTCGCGGCTTAATATCGATTTGTATCGATATCGCGTTATCGATAACGCTTCGAAAAGTTTCGAATTCGAAGGCTGCGGCTAACAAAATTTTCGAGATGGAGAGACACATTCGGGCATGGGCATAACGACTCTGTCTCTATCGCTTGTGGTGTTAGAAAAGCTTTCTTCTGCCTGTCACACACACACACACACACACACTTGTACACTTACACTCTATTTTGAATTGGAACAGGGTATATGTATGAAACAAACTCTTGCAGTTACTCAATGCAGGACATGTACAGCGTGGTCTCGGATGTCAGCAACTATCACAAATTTGTGCCCTATGTCAAGAAATCGCATGTGCACAGCACACACGGCGGCGGCTTCAAGGCGGATCTGATTGTTGGCTTTCCGCCGCTGAACGAGGCATACACATCGCGGGTGACACTGGAGCCGCCCAGCATGGTGAAATCCGAGTGCCATGATGGTCGTCTGTTCAACTACCTCCTCAACGAATGGCGTTTCAGTCCCGGCCTCAAGGACATACCCAATTCGTGTGTGCTAGATTTTCGGGTTGCATTCGAGTTCAAATCCTTGCTGCACAGCAATATTGCCAACATATTCTTCGATCTGATCTGCGATCAAATGGAGAGCGCATTCATTCTGGAAGTCGGTCGACGCAGCGGCCCACCCTCCATACGCTCGCATGTGCTCAAAGCGAGGCGATCCTGACCATCCTGATCCGAACCAAACGACGCGAAACATGTCTCTCCATGCTGTCTAGTTAAATATTGTATTTAGTAAATGGAAAAACCACCAAAACAAAAAAAACAAAAACATAAACAATTATGTTGTCAGAGGCGTTTTCTATATATTTTTGTTATAACAAACTGTAAATAAATTGATAACTCAAAGAAATCTATTAAGTACTTGAATTTTATTGAACGTCATTGAAGAAAAATCATTGTTTTTAACAGTCTCGTTTTTTTTTTTTTTTGGGTTGGATTTTTAAAATACACAACAGATTATTTGTTAATGACAAGGTTCATTGCTTAATTGACATGTGTTTAAATTAGAAAATAAATATTTAATTATGTTAACTATGGAATGGCATCGTTTAAGTCGAGAAATTCTCAAAAAGAGGCCGACGACGTTACAATTAATTCTCTTTACTTTTAAATACAACTAAGACTACGTTTATTTGCGATATGTCAAAAATAATACATAAAAAAAAAACAATAAAAATCAAATTCGTGTCAATTAAATATCTTAAAAATAAATTGCAAAGAGAAATATGTTAAAGCACAAAAAATCAAAATCATGCTATTTACAAAAACATTTACATTAAATTGACAATATCGCAACAGTTACTCAGTTTTAGGGGGCAGTTAATATTTTGAGTTGGAACAAGTATTCCCATATATAAACTCTATATATATATGTATAAGTAGGTATATCTATGCATCTAACAGTTACTAACTATAACTTGAGTGTGTCCTATATTTATGATGCTAAGCTCTCTACAAGTTAACTTTATACAAGAGTGAGGGGGGGACGATCTCTACTTGGAGCAGTAAAAAAGTCGACTACCATACAACAGTTAGTGAAATTAGAATACCCTCACAAATGGCTTGTTAGGGTATATAGGCTACGACATGCCGTAGTTAACATTGTTTTATAGCTTAGGTTTTGTTTTTCTGATATTGTCCAGTGAAATACGCGTGCAACTACTTAGGAAACAATTAGGCTAAGGTTCAACAAATGGTTGCAGTTAGCAGCTAATGATTATGCAATAGAAGGTATATACGAAGTAGATAGGTACAATTCCTTAATTACTAACGATCGTAACTAAAACAAATCTTATAAGCACATTGCGGGCGCATTCGTAAAACATTCGAAACTGAACTCAAATTCGTTGCTAGTCGCGAGCGGCATTGTAAACTCTAAAATTGTTAAGGGATGCGGCAGAAAACGCAACCATTTCAAATGGCTTTTCGTTTTTAGCGTTCGCTTTAGAAAAAAAAATATCACTTGTTGGGCCGTTTGTTTTTGAGCGGGCGAAGTGGCTGCCACGAGGCGGCAGCAACCACTGCCGCCAGCTTTCTTCGCTCTCAGTTGTGCTTGGCCCGCTTTCCAAACATATAGCCCTTCCAGCGTTCGGCGGTCTGTGCGATCAGCGGATCACTGTCAATGGTGGCCAGCAGCAGCAGCTGGTTGACGTGCGTCGCATGGTAGTCCCAGCGTGCCAGATTTGGTGCCACGCCCAGACTCAAATGGCGCAGATCGTAACTGGTGCCGGAGCCGGTATCGTACAGCAACAGCATCTTCTTCAGCGAGTGCATGCCCTGGTTAAACAGTTTGCCCGCCTCGCGTGCTATTTTGCCGGGCGCCGTGCTGTTCAAATCGTAAAGACCCAGCAGCGAATAGATGAAACCATTGAGCACATAGGATGCGGGCGTTGTGGGATACTCCTCGTACCTAGAGCAGGCATGTGCAAAGTAAATAAGTGAATAGGTCAAGCATTTGCAGGGATTGCTCCACTTACCAGTAGTACTTCTCCATGAATTGCGCCAAAACGCCGCCGTCACGGGAGTAGACGCGATACGGCTGCAGGCCCAGCGAGGCTGCCTTTAGGTAACGCACATCCCCGCCAGAATGCCAATAGGCGCGCGCCAGCACTGAAATGGCATGACCCTGACCCATGGCCGATATCCAGCCGGGACGCAGCTCCGCAAAGCCATTGAGGCTGCGGCGCACCGGATTCACCCAGCCGCCCGTCTTGGCATCCTGATTGTGCACAAACCATTCGGCTGCATCATAGAAATGCGCCAAATGATCGCTCGTCGAGAGCGTTATATTGTCAAAGAAGCCAATGCCCAGAAAGGCAACGGACAGCACCTCCAGATCGCTGCGACGCACCTTCAACGGCGAACGCTTATCGCCCAGGACAATGCCCTTCTGGACGTCGATGTGCAGATCCCGTGTGATGTGGCGCCACTTGTTTAGGGATCCGCTGCCCAGGCCGTAGTATATATTCGACTCCTGGACGCTGAGCAGCAGCTCGGCGGCAATGTAGTGCAAATTGTAGCTGTGCTTGGTGTCGCGATTCAGCACGGTGACCATCAGGCTGCTGCTGTTGGTCACCAGCAGCAGATCCACGCTGAGCACCAGATCCTGCGTTTGATTCACCTGGATGCTGATGGCGCTCTCGTAGCCAATGGTCGTCTCGAACTGGACAATGCTCGTGTTGAACTTGTGATGCCAGATGCGTGTCATATTGCTGGTCTTGGGCGTTGTCCAGTCCATTTGGTTGCCATCGGCGTCCTCGAGCACATGAACGCGCGGCGTCGGCTCTGTTAGGTTTTTGCTGTAATGCGCCAGCGCAAATTGTGCTATCTGTGTGGGATAGAAATAGCCGCGTTTCTCCCATTGCGTGCTCACGGGCACGCCTTCCGCCGCACTAATGCACTTGACCCGATCCCGCACCTCCACATTGTAGTTCTCAAAGTACATAAAAACGCCACGTGTCTCGTACTTGCCCTTTGGCAGATTCACTTTGGCATTGCTGTGCATCCAATTGAATTTGGCCGGATCGCTGCCGCTTCCACTGGTCGTCACGGCGCCGCTAACATCGAAATACTGGCGCAGAAACGAGAACGGCACATACACCTCGTTGGCGTTCTCATCCCGTTTGCAGTGTATGCTATACTCCTGATTGATGGCGCACTCAATATCCTGCAATGGCGCCGACAGCTCCTGCCCCGCAGCCGAGCTGGACAACGTATCGATGGTCTGTCGCTTGCCCAGCTGACGCACAAGATCGGGCGAAAAGCTAAACGCGGCACAGCGCATATAAATGCCCAATGTTATGATCATGACAGCCACCGAGAGCAACAGCAGCACAGCTTTCAGATTCAGTCGCATTATGAAGAACACCAGTGGCTCACGCTGCAAATGATGCAAATGATGTGTTAAATATGCATATACTATTGAAAAGATAACAGTGCTTGCCTTATTATATTGTGGCTTTCGGGGCGTCGCTTCTCTCTGCTGTTGCGACGGCGGCTGCGGCTGATTTGCTAGTGCATGGGCGTCATGGGCATCTGTGGAGCTTGCATTGCCACTGGCATGCACTGACAGATACTCGGACATGCAGATTTATGGGCTGGTCACACTTTTGCGTGCCTTTACTGTACCCTTTTATGCAGTACACTGTAACGTCATATTCTAAATAGAATAAAAGGCACATACACGCACACACACACGCTCATATGCGAAAATGCTGTTGTTTTTGCACAGGTAGCTGCTGCATTGATTGGTTGCTGTTTAACATGATGGCACAATTGCACGGCTTTATAAATACCACACTGCACGAGCGTTAAATGCACCTGCAGTTGCAGCGATTTTGTTTGGATATATTTATAATATGGCAACAGCTGGCATACCACAGCAAATAATACTATTTATTTCAGCTGGTTTTTGTAACAATTTTTATGTGTTTTCCATTCATTTATGACTTTTTCTTAGCACTCAAGCACAACCCACACACTAACAACTGCCAAAGCAAACACAAACACAACTGCAATGAAGACGAAGAAGAGAGATACCTAAGTTTATACGGCAAGACACGAACGTGGTGTACGTAAAATCACCTAGTTTATGTCTAATGAAATTTTAATTTATATCAATTCCATGATAGCTGACATGAATAATTTCAAAATATATATTTGCATTTTTAATTATACTACATAGTTTTTTTTTTAACGAAATTAACTTTTGTTCCACCTCTATTATACACTACCATGCCAGATCATAATAAACAGGCAGGCATAAACGCTGTTATATGCGTTTGAGTGTTTTGACAGCTGACAAGGGTTGCCACACTGTCAAACGGGTTGCTGTGCTTTGTAAACAAAACAATTGAATATATTTTGAAAATCTCAGTGCAATTAATTAAATTAACTTAAAACAATGCCAACTTAAGGTTTTTTATTAAACAGTTCGAAGTTGCTTGTGTCCAGGCACAGACGCAAAAAAATTGAATATATATAACATGTCGCTTGACAGCCCTAATCAGAGATAAATCAATAGCGGCGTGATTTGTTTACAAAATGTTGAACTAAATTTTTAATTTGAATCGCAATGTTTAGAATTAATTTGGAGAAAAGTGCAATATGTTTGCTGCTGCTGTTGCTGCTAAAGAGCGAATCACTGCCGGCAACAGCCTCCAACGGCGATCGCACACAATTCTATCACAATTGTCGGCAAAATTGCGAACGCACAAACTGTTCAGCTGGCAAGTAAAAGATAATCTTAAGGGCTCCCACATGACTAATATTATATTTGCAGACGGCTTGGAAATACAAGAACAGGCCATCAGCTTCTATGGCCAAACGATTTTCGATCGCATCTTTGGCTGGAACTGTGCGGACGAGTGCTCATATGGCTGCATGTGGCGTACCGTGTTTGCGTTCATGGAACGCGGCTGGCCCATACCGCAATTCTATGGTAAATGGCCATTCTTGCGTCTCTTCGGCATGCAGGAGCCGGCGTCAGTTATATTTTCTATAGCTAATTTCGTAATGCACTTTCGTATGTTGCGCAAATTTCGCGAATCAGTGCGCTCCGACAGTCCCTGCTACATGCTGGGCCACATCTTTGGTTTGGTAAGGATCTTAACAGCTTAGCTTGACGGTGTCTTTGCTTGAGCTGTGCTTATTTCTAGGTATGCCTGAATGGCTGGATATGGTCAGCGATCTTCCATACCAGAGATTTTCCCATTACCGAGCTGCTAGACTATGCCTTTGCGTATTCCATCGTTCTGTGTTCCTTCTACTGCATGTTGATGCGCATGTTGCATCGGTACTCGCTATTTCTGCGCGGGGTCATCACGCTGGCATGCGTCTCATACTACATCAATTATTTTGCCTACCTGAGCACGGGCAAATTTAATTACTCCTTCAATATGAAGGTGAACATTGCCACGGGCGTGCTGAACGCCGTGGGCTGGTTTGTGTGGTGCCAACGTGTACGCTATCGGCGGCCCTATTACAAACGCATATTACGCTTCTATGTGCTATTCGCGCTGGCCATGAGCCTGGAGCTGCTCGATTTTCCGCCTATACTGTGGATACTCGATGCGCACTCGCTGTGGCACTTGGCCACAGTACCCTTAGTTCCGCTCTACTACGAGTGAGTACACATTAACAGATCAACTAAATCAATTAGTTAATATATTACGATTGCAGCTTTTTGATCGAGGATTGTCAGACACTGCTGAAGGAGAAGGAAATGACAGGCTCTTATTCCTACTTTAACAAGGATATTTAGATCATTAGACACACATCTTATCGATAAGTGTTCGTTATACTCGTATTGTACTGTATTGTAAATTTATTATACATGACATAATTCTGCTACATCTGTCCACATTGCGATATGGTAACTGGCAATTTGGGCTTGTTGTTGGGTCCCGTCGGCACATTCTCAATTTTACGCATTATCAGGAGACCATCCAGTACGCGTCCAAAGACCACATGCTTGCCATCCAAAAAATTACATCTAGCACATGTAATAAAGAACTGACAGCCATTTGTGTCCCGGCCACTGTTGGCCATGGCCAGTAGGCCAGGTGAGTCGTGTTTTAGCGTGAAATTCTCGTCACCAAATGTGTTGCCATAGATGCTGGTCACCCCAGTGCCATCGCCTTGCACAAAATCACCGCCTTGTATCATGAAATCCTTGATGACTCTGTGAAAACTGGCGCCCTTGTAGCCAATCGGCACTCCATCTGGTCGGTACTCGCCCGTGCAAAATTGTCGAAAGTTTTCTGCCGTGCGCGGCACAGTGTCTGCAAATAGCTCGAAAATCATGCGACCAATTTCCTGCCAAAAAAAAAAAATTAAATTAAATTAATATGTATATGTACACTCGTGTGTGTTTTTGTTGTTCATTTACCGTTGTGCCCACGGCTATGTCAAAGAACACAACGGGATTGTTTGAGCTGCGCAATTGTGATTGTATTTGATTCCAGTTTGGCATATTTATTGATTAGAATTGATAAAATGCAAACGTTTAACAATAAAAGGCGCCGGTTGTGGTTTGTTTACGTTTTGTAGCGATTCATTACTATTAATCGATAAGAAATTGTGCAGTCGTGTCATAGTTATCGATATGTGCTTGCCGGCCATCGCATAAATCGTTCAGCTCTACTCACACATGTGGCTGTTGTTTTATTAATTGCAAGTGTTTTGCTTCGAAGACCGCTAAATTAGTTATTTATTAGTTTGTTGTGTGCTAGTGTTTAGCAAAGTGTTAAAAGCCTGAGGATTTACTTGACAGGTGATATATACATCTGTTTAAGCTGAGGCGGAAAGCGGGAAGGCATTTGCATAAGCGGTAAGTCTCAATGTATTGCTTTTATTGTGCCCTTGTAGTTGTGGGTTATTTTCTACCCGGGTTAATTAACAAAGTTCCCGCAGCCTAAGTGCACTTCATATTATTGACTTTTCGTTGTTGATGTTTGTTATTCAAATTCAATCACACAACACAAATTGCACGCAGACTAATTGATGCCCGTCAATCGAGGCTGCTGTTGCTGTGTTGCTGTCTCGCTTGCACTCAAGTACTTTAGTAAAAGCTCAAAAAGCTCGGCTTAAACTTGGCTTCAACTGTAAATCGTATAACAGTTCAAAATGTAAATCGCAAAAAGCGTCGGTTTTAGTTAAATATATTTATAATACAAAAATGCGCATATCAAATGCTAAGTAAATGTTTATGTTTATAAATAAGTGGTTTTTTGTTGCTCATAAGAGCTTTAACATACGATATTAACATGTATTACGTGTGGTAATAGGAACCCAATAATAAATTAAACGAAATTCAGCAGTGCAACTTAAAAACTATATAAATATGTACTTAATTAAATTCAATTGAGCAAATTCAAATCGTACGATTTTAGGTACAGGCCTCATTTCAGCACGTTTTTAAACGTCAAAAAAAACAGCTAATACTATCTACAAATTTTTGCATTTCTATCGCATCAATTGCTCGCCTCGTCCGTGTCCACATCCGAAATGTCCTTCAGCTTTGTTATATTATTGTTTTGATTATCCTCTGCCGCCTGCTGAAAACTTTGCTGAATTGTTTTGGGATCCACCACCAAAATAGGCGTACAGCCATCCATGAGATGTTCGCTTTGACTCTGGAACTGTTCCCGCGATATGCTGCGTGTGAAAGAGAAACGCAAGGACTTGGTGCGCGTAAGGATCTTCTTGATGGGCGGCTTGCCGGTAACCGCCACTGGCTCTGAGCTGGTGCGTTCCGTTTCGGGTGTGGCCGGCGCGGAGCTAATCTCCAATTGCGTATCACGCAATATTTCCTCCGCAAAGCCCTTGATCTGGCTCCAAGCATCCAGAATGTCCTTTTCTGTGGCATGCTCGTAGGTCACACAGAAACGTATCACATAGCGTCCATTGAATTTGGCCGGCGTCATGTGCATCTTGCCCGAGTGATTGATCTGTGCCAACAGCAGATGATTGGGCTCATCGCCGGTGCTGTGAGGGTTTTATGAAAAGGATAATGTTGTAGAAAAAATTGTAGATTCAGGGAGGGTTTTTTGTTGTACTAACCGCATGCGAAAGCACACCAGACCCAGGTGCACATCGTTGCGCACCTCAAAGCGTTCATCCTTGCGTACAAGCATCTCAAACTTCTTGGCCAGAACCATGTGATTGCGTATGTACTCCTGCAGTCCCTTTACGCCATATGTGCGGAAGACAAACCAGAGTTTGAGCGCGCGGAAGCGACGACTCAGTGGAATGCCATAGTGTCTGTAGTCGACGCCATTCATGTGCTCGTGCCGCAGATACAAGGGGTTCACATTGAGCGCACTCTTCAGGGTCATCACGTCGCGCACCCACAAGGCGGAGGCATCGAAGTTGGTCAGCAGCAGCTTGTTGGGATTGGTATTGAAGGAGTCCGCGTACTCCAGGCCAGCGGAGAACACACGCATCTCGGGCAGAATAAAGGAATTGCCCGCATAGGCGCCATCCACATGCAGCCAAATGCTGGACACCTGTCGGCACACCTTGCCAATCTCGGAGATATCATCGAAGGCACAGCCGCCGGTGGTGCCCACCGTGGCCACAACAAAGAAGGGCGTCAGGCCCGCATTCACATCGTTCTGTATGGCCTGCTGCAGCAGATCCACGCGCATGCGTCCACGCTCGTCGGCATCGATGATGCGCAGCTTCACCAGCGCCATTTTGGTGGCCTTCTCCACGCTGGAGTGCGCCTCGCGGCTGGCATAGGCAATCAGATTGGGCAGAAAGACGCTGTCATGGACGGTGGTCTGACCCTTCAGTTCGCTAATGGCGCGTGCGCGTGCCGTGATTAGGGACACCAGCACACATTCGGAGGCGGAACCCTGCAGAGCGCCGCCGCCTGTGCTGCCGGGCGCATCCGAAACGAATGCCTTGGGCAGACCCAATGCCTTGGCATACCAGTTCATCACAATTGTCTCCAGTTCCGCGGCAGCCGGGCAACTGGCCCAGCTGAAGCCAATGGAGCCAATGGCGCTGCTTAGCATATCGCCCAGCACAGAGGGAAAACTGTTGCCCGATGGGAAGTAGGCAAAGAATTTCGGATGATTCCAGTGCACAACGCCCGGCATTATCTTTTGCTCAAAGTCCTCGAGCACATCTTTAAACGATTCGGGCGATTGGGGTGCGTCCGCTGCAATGTAAACAATTGAAGTCGGTTCGTTAGTTGGCCCTGGTACCTCGTGTCTTAAATATATAGTAGATATATCTTTTAGCGCCTATAAAGTTGCTGCTAAATCAGCGCGTACCAATATTTATATACAATTTGTTATTTTTGGCATTGTGCGGAAGATCGAAAGATCAACAGTTCAGCACACAAATCTTTATCTACTTCTACCTGAGATGTGCGTACGAGTGTGTGTGTGTGTGTATTCGCATAATTAATTGATTTGTTTAGTTGAACTATAGAGAGATTGTGGTGTTCGTCAGATGTAAATATTTAGCTTAAATAACTGCGCGCAATTCGCTTGAAATTCGCTGGAAAAAAAAAAAAAAAAACTGAAAATCTTATGACCCAACAGCTTGATGCCCCAAATTGAGCCCACGCCTGAACAAAAAGAAAAAACAAACAGTTTTTTATAAAAATTGTTTTGTTTTTTGTTTTTTTCGTTTTTTGGATTTCATGGTTACCATGTGGGCTTCCAGAGAGCTACAAGTCAATTCGCATTGTTTGCTGACAATTAGTCAACATGAATCCACAAGTTTCTGAAGAGCCTGTTGAGTTGAGGTTTTATTTTTTATTTTTTTTGCCTGACTTATTTTCTTCTCTTTTTGAATATATATTGTGTGAAGTGAAATATTTATATATTTTTGTATTTTCCATTTTCCATTCGCTAATTTGTTTAGAAGCCTTTGACTAATTGTTGTTTACTTGCGCTAATTTGAAGCGATCTCCTCAAGAGTTTGGAACGCCTGACGGGCAATGTTTTTATAAACAAATTAGTTTTGTAAATTGTTTGGGCATCTACGCAAAAACAGTAACAAACTAGCGCAAATCTTTTTGAATGAATTTTCAAAATTTGTGCATTGGCAAATTCCATTGAGTAATGAGTACAAATATTTATAGTTACATCAGCAATATATGCGCGCATTATTTATAATTTGTTTGTAAATAGATAAGCTTAATAAACTGTGTTAATTATATTTTGGAATTCTACCCAGTTGCGCTTACCTGGTAATAGTTTTTTCAAATATCCCGGATCCAATGTGGGCGCCACATCGCGCTCTTCGATATTGCTGCCATATTCGCATATATAATCGATCACCTCCTTGCCGTATTTGCGAAACTCTTCAACGTTCATTTTGCTATGCTTGTTTTTTTTGTTTGTTTTTAATCAGTTGTTTAGCACTTGTTTTGTGTTTTAAATTGATTAACACCTTTTTTGAATTTCTAACACTCTTCTTGTAACACAATGCCCAAAGCTAGGCAACACTTGTATTCTCTTTCTCGCTCGCTCACTTTAATCCGTTTGCCTACGTAGTGCTTGCTGCAGCTTCCTTTGCGCGAATGACTCGAAGTTTGTTACTGCATTCGTTTTTATAACGAAACCCAAACATGCTCTCCTGAGCGAGCTTTGCACGCGTGCTCTCTTTTTCGCTCGCTGTCTCTCTCTCTCTCTATATCGCTCTGGAGAATTGGCACCTGCGCTTGTTGTTGTACGTGATTGTTGTCTTCTTTCTTTTGCGGCGCTCAAATTACTTGCATTGTACTTTGCCGCCTACTTTGACGTCGTCTCCGTCGCCGGCATCATTTGGATATCTGTGGAAACCCGCTTTGCCATTTTGTTCAGTCGCCTTAAGCCTCAGTTCTCTACGCGCGCGCTTTGTGTGGGCTGTTTCGGTTAGTTTTGTATTCAATTAAAAAAAAATCCCTGCCGGGAAACATATATATATTTTTTTGTTTGACTTAATTATATGGTTCGGATGCGAAATGAAAGGTTTTTCGTGCTGCGATTTGGAGCTGATTCGAGTCTTTATTAATAGCACATTACAGTTGGAGATTTGAAAACATTTTAATTGTGATTTCTGCTGGGCAAAATGGAAAATCAGTTTGGGGTAGTCGGGAAAGTTTTGGATAGTACAGCGCATACTGTTTACCTTCGGTGATTCAGATCAATTATTGGCGTAGGTTTTAAACAAAAAGTGTAAAAGTACACAAGTTCCCTTTGACAATATTACGTATACGTTATCAAATATTACGTATACTTTTCAGTAAAAAATTTTTAGAAACAAATTTAAGTAATTCAACTAGGATAAAGGTTAAATATTAAATATAATATTAAAATTATTACGTATACGTATTCAAATATTACGTATACTAAAAAAAATCCAAGTAAAAACTTAAGTAATTTTATTAGCATAAAGGTTTAATGTTATATGGAAATACGTTTGTGAAAGATTTTTAACAAGTTTTTCAAGCAATTTTCTTTAAAATATTTTCGAATTGTGATCTTAAGTCTTTGGTCTTCGGTTGTTTATTATGAATTCGATTAAAATTGCTTTAAATATTTTGTATCGATTTATATACTTTATTTTTTCTTATATCAAGTAAATAAATATCATTTTAATATCTATACATATGATATTTAATTGACAATTAAAGTTTAAGTCACAATCATCTGTTATAATGAGTGCTTAACAGAAGAAAAATTGCCATAATTAAACTCAAAGCTAGCATTTCGTCGTGTATCTATGATTTCAATTAATTTAACACAATAGCTGCCACGCCTTCCAGATCCCACCAGTTTCCAGTTTTAGCTTTACTAATTATCGTTTCTTCTTGTTCCCTGAGTTTTT